CATCATCATCATCATATTACTCCTCCCCCTCCTCCTCCTCCCCTCCTCCTCCTCCTCCTCCTCCCTCCAACTCCTCCTCCTGCTCTTCCTCCTCCTCCTCCTCCTCCTCCTCCTCCCCCTCCTCCTCCTCTTCCTCCTCCTCCTCAACCTCCTCCCCTCCTCCTCCGCCTCTCCTCCTCCTCCTCCTCCTCGTCCTCCTCCTCCTCCTCCCCCTCCTCCGCCTCCTCCTCCCTCCTCCTCCTCCTCCTCCTCCTCCTCTCCTCCCTCCTCTTTCCTCCTCCTCTTCTCCTCCTCCTCCTCCTCCCCTCCTCCTCCTCCTCTTCCTTCTCCTCCGCCTCCTCCTCCTCCTCCTACTCCTCCTCCTCCTCCTCCTCCGCCTCCTCCTCCTCTTCTTCTTCCTCGCCGCCGAAAATCATGCGGAAAGGATCCTGGAGAGCTGCGGGCCCTCTGCTCCTGGGGGGGCTCTCGCGGGCCCTCGGGGCCTGCCGCACGGATCGCCCGAGAGGCCTACGAATCGCGGCTCGGAGCCCTGCCCGCTGACGACGACGACGACGGAATCATCTCGGGGGGACTCCGGGAACGCGACCAGGAACACGTCAGGGGCCTCCACGCTTCCCCCCGCCCACAGCCCAGACACGGTGGCGGGACGGGCCGAAGGCTGCCTAATTCTCCAGCTTCAGATCTCGGTGGACAATGCCGTGGCTGTGGATATAGTCCGCCGGGCCCCCCGCGGGGCCGCGAGCCAGGCGAGGAGGACCGTGCAGCACAACAGGTGGCGGTGACAGGCCCATGGTAGGGATGGCTCGTCTGTTCAGGCGCCCTGAGTGCACACGCTTTCGGCGACCACACCGCCTCTTGATGCTGGCCTGGGTTAGTATGGCTACGGCCCTTCCTTCTCACGACAGAAGAACCCGACGGCAAAACGAGAGACTCACTCATGACAAACAAAACGCGAAAACACGATGCTCGCGCTCTACCTTTCGCTCGCCTCCCGCAATTCGCTCGCCTCCTGCTTTCGCTCGCCTCCAGCTGTCATCCGCCTCCCGCTTTAGCTCGTCACCAACCTGTCTCTCGCCTCGCACTTTCGTTCCCCTCCCCCTTTTGTTCGCCTCCCGCTTTCGCTAACCAACTGCTTTCGCCCGCCCCCGCTTTCGCTCGCCTCCCGTGTTCGCTCGCATCCCACATTCGCTTGCATCCTGCGTTCGGCTTTCGCTCGCCTGCCACTTTCGCTCGCCTCCCGCTTTCGCGGGAGGCGAGCGAAACCATGAGACGATTGAAACCGAGGAAGCAAAACAGAGACGCGAAGAAGCGAAGCGAGGCGAAACAATGCCGAATCCCAAACTAAGCTCGCCTCCTGCTGCTTTCGCTCGCCTCCTGCCTTCACTCGCCTCCCACTCTTGCGTTCGCCTCCCGCTTTCGTTCGCCTCCCACTTTCCAAATCGCCTCCCACTTTCGCCCGTTCGCCCGCTCGCCTCCCCCATTCCCGCTCGCCTTTCCCATTCCCGTTCGCCTCCCGCTTTTCCCATTCGCCTCCCACCGCCTCCATCGCCTCTCGCTTCCGTTCGCCCGCCGCCCACCAACCCCGTTCGCCTCCCCCACTTTCCTGTTCGCATCCCGCTTTCCCCGTTCGCCTCCCGCTTCCACGTTCGCCTCCCACTCTCGTTCGCCTCCCGCTTTCGTTCGCTTCGCCTCCCTCTTCCCCGTCCGCCCCCCGCTCTCCCGTTCGCCTCCCACTTGCGCGTCGCATCCCACTTTCCCCTTCGCCTCCCACATTGGTTCGCCTCCCGCTTCCATTCGCTTCGCCCTTTCTATTTCGCCTTCCACTTTCGCTCGCGCGCGAGGCGGCCGAAAATGGGAGTCAACCACAAAAACGGGAGGCGAGAGGGTCAGTGGATGCGAAGGGGAGAGTGACATGTCACCGAGACAGTGGGAAAGTGGGAGGCTAACGCAAGTTTGAGGCAGTCGAATGCAAACGAAAGTGGAAGGCGAACACGAACGTTGGAGGCGAATCAAACGAAAAGGGGAGGCGAATGAAAATGGGAAGCGAACGCGAGAGTGGGAGGCGAACGAAAGTGGGAGGCGAACGAAGGCGAACGAACGTGGGAAGCGAACGCGACAGTGGGAGGCGAACGAAGGCGAGCGACAGTGGGAGGCGAACACGAACGTGGGGGGCGAACGCGACAGTGGGAGGCGAGCCCGGGCGTGGGGGGCGAAGGAGAACGTGGGAGGCGACGCGAATGAAAGTGGGAGGCGAACACGAACGTGGGAGGCGAAGGCGAGCACGAGGGTGGGAGGTGAAGAGGAGAGTGGGAGGCGCACGCGATAGTGGGGGGCGAACGAACGTGGGAAGTTCAGGCGAGCACGAGCATTGGAGGCGGCCGAAAGTGGGAGGCTACCGACAGCGGGAGGCGACAGCGAACGTGATGAGGATGCTGATGATGATGCTGGCAACGATACTGGTTATAATGATGATAATGCTGCTGCTGATGATGCTAATGATGATGCTGATGATGCTGATGATGAGTTGCCGACGGTGCTGATGATGATGGTGATGACAGTGCCGATGATGGTGATGATGACAATGCTGCTGCTGATGATGATGCTGCTGATGATGGTGATGACGATGATGATGGCGTTGCTGATGATGACGACGATGATGATCCTGATGATGATGCTGCTGATGCTGATGATCATGTTTATATGCTGATGATGATGGTGCTGCTGATGCTGATGATGCTGTTGCTGATGGTGATGATGCTGCTGGTGGTGATGGTGTTGATGATGATGATGATGAGGAGGAGGAGGAGGAGGAGGAGGAGGAGGAGGAGGAAGGGTGACACCGATACTGAGGAAGAGGACAGGGGCTGAAGGAGGGATGATGACCCCCAGGCGCCCCCCCACGGGGACCCAACGAGAACACTAGGATACATGCTGGGGAAGGAGAGCGACCTGGGCCCTTGGGTGGGCTGAAGGGGGCGTGCGAAGCGTAAAGGATTTACTGCCAGCAACATCTGATGGACCGTTTCCGCCGCATCCTTTTCCTTGAACGTCTTCAGTTCGATTACGCGGTCGAACAGCTCGCCACCTTCCATGCACTCCATGATGAGGTACAAGAACCCGCTCTCCTCATACACATCATAGAGCCGAGTAACGTGGGGGTGGTCCATGCACAGGAAGACCTCCACCTCCGACTCCAGCAATTTCTTTTTATCGGCGGCTATGTTTGAAAATTTGAACGCCTTCATGGCGTACTTCTGGCCAGAAGGGCTTTGCTTGCTCACTGCCATTTTCACTTCTCCGTTCATGCCCGAGCCCAGCGTCTTGTCCACGACTTCGTAATCTTGTGACATGACCTTGGGGTACCTGTGGTATCGGCCAGAGACTGCGATCTTCCCAGACTTCTTCTCTACTTTCTCCAAGTCGGTCATGGACTCACGCTTCGAGGGCCTGCTCGAAGACTTCCCGATCGACTGGCTGCCGCCAACATTGCCCATGATGCCCAGTCTCCACGCAGGCTTCGGAACCAGAGAAGGGCACGAGCACTGCTTGGAAATTGACGAGGGAGGAGAGGGAGGAGGGAGGAGGGAGGCTGGACAGGCTGACGAGCCCGAGAGCGCAACGCTCTGCGCTGAGGCTGGGGACTGGACGCGCGGAGAGCGCCGCGTCTGGATCCCGAGGACCCAGCGACGGTGGTCGAGGCCTCGGCGTTCACTCCGGGATAGCATCGGAGCCGAGCTGGACAAGACTTCAGTCCGTGAGGGGGCAGGGAGCTCGAAGGGGAGGAAGTCGAGCACGGGATGTCGGGCGCGGCCGCGCCGCCACCTTCTGTGACGACCTCCGTGCCCACCCCCCCAGAGATGCGCGAACATGACCCAGGGGGCGTCAAAGGAGTGACCTACAGTGGGGGCCCGACCATAAGAAACCTTCCACAAGAAACCCGACCCTGAGACCCCAGGACGTCCATCGATCTTTGGTGTGGGAACGTCACGCTTTCCATGGCAAACCTATAGAAACCCAAGAAACCCAGGGCACCCTGAAGGCAAGCAGGGTGTTTCTTGGCATAGGTCCCCACTGCAGAGGGAGGGGTCCAACTCTGTGACGACTCTCGCGCCCCTTGCCCCAAGATGCGCGAAAATGACCCAGGGGGAGTCAGAGGGGTGACCTAGTGGGCCTTGGAAGCAACAAGGCGATTTGATTACCGGTTCCGTCTTTCCAGTATCGTCGCTTTTCTTTGCCTGCTCGATCGCAATTTGTTTTCCAATTCTGGTCCCTGCGCTATTTGTTTTGCCGGTTCGGTGAACTGTTTTTTAACGCTGTCGTAATCAAGAGCCAAGTCTTGGAAACGTGGGAATAACGGCCCTGCCATTTCCAAGACCCACGAAGGGTGAGCAGAGGGGTCGATTTGCAAGCGGTGGGTCAGTCCGCCTCTGACGAATGAGTGATCCGACGGTCTCGCCCTCCAGACAGAGCCAAGGCTGCCCCAGAACATCGTGGATGGGCAAACAGTCGGATGCTCGTACCATTTCCAGCTTCCGAGAGAGGTATGGAAAAACGCGTGGTCGGGCTGCGTGTGTTGCTGGGGGTCTGGTGGTGGCGTAGCTTCGCCGCGGGCCTTCCAGCAAGCGACGTAACAGGACTGAAACGTCTTGAGCCATCAGCAGCGAGAACAAATAATAGTCATGATAACATGGTAGACAAAGAAGCCGTGCTTGGGACCAGAGCAACAAGCAAACTGCGAACAAGAGCGACGTCGTGTCCTCCAGCGGGCGGCGTCTAGCCTTGATTCACTCCCTCCCGACATTTGCGACATCTTGACGGACGGCAGCGTTGGTGACAGAAGTGGCAGAAGAGCGATGGCACTTTCCAAGAACGCCGCATTCACTGCAATGCCCTGCAAAACAACACGATCGACACGACACCTGTGCCCGAAGTGGTGGCGACAACTCCGGTGGACGTGCTGCCAGGGCTGGGAAATTCATCGGCGCCTTGGGGCCATCGGCGTGTGAGGCCCCTCCCCCCCGGCCCCTCCCCCTCCCCCTCCCCCCTCTCCTCCTCCTCCTCTCCTCCTCCTCCTCCTCCTCTCCTCCTCCTCCTCCTCCTCCTCCTCCTCCTCCTCCTCCTCCTCCTCCTCCTCCTCCTCCTCCTCCTCCTCCTCCTCCTCCTCCTCCCCCCAGGAGGCCATCGCCGCCAGCTTGGAAGGCGGGCTCGGAGGGAAGGGTAATCGCCAAGGCGGGTGCCTGGGCGGCTCGGGCGTCCACAGTTACTCGTTCACACGCGGCGCCAAGACGGCTGAAACGGGCTTGAGCTGCCTGCCAAGATCGCGGAGGATGGCCAAGCTGAGTTCTGCTTAGCGAAATCCTCCACCATCCATCCAAGAGGTCCCAGGGCGGCTCGAAATGACGAGGGGTTGTCACAAAAATACCCCAATGGGGCGGCGAAGCTTTTGAAACAACTGGATGGCCTTCGATGCTCTCGCATCGTGAGCTTTTCTGCATACAGGTGGGCTTCGGAGCGGTCTGGAGGGCCCGAAAAAGAAGCGGTAACACAAGCAACAAACCACGCCGACTCTTTGCTCCTCATCCCCGGCTTGCTTTTCGGGCCGGGCGAAAGGGGGGGATCGCAAATGGGGGGTTTGAGAATCAGCTTTCGTAGCTGATTTTCCCGGCTCCTCCCGGCGCCGGGAGGCGCACACGTATCGAGGAATGGGCCCGGCGGCGGGGCCGCAACCAGCTGCGTGCAGCAGATTTCGTACCACCCCTTTCCCTCTTCCCCCCTTTCGTTCGTGAAGGGGCCCTGGGACACACAAACAAATACACACCACTGAAGAAACCCATCCTTTCCTATCTTTTCTGGGTTCCTGTCTTCCCCCCCACTCCCCATCATTCCCATATATATATATATATATATTCTGAGGAATCGACGAGTCATTGTGTCCGTGTGTTTTGTCCCCTCCTGACTTCGGCCCGAGCTCTGTGCTGGCGAGATGCTCGATGGCCAGGCGGCCCCACGCCGCCGGGGAGGGCCGCGGGCGAGGCCCCCGCCGCGCGGGCGCCCGCGGGCGATGGCCAGGCGGCCGGCGGGCCCCGTGGCAGGCGGGCCCCTGCGAGCTCGGGGGCCCAGGGCCCCGCGCGAGAGCCTCGGGTGAAGTCGGGCCTGTCCCCCTACAGGGGGATTTCCGACGAAACAACAACAAAAAAACACTCCCCAAAATAGTCCAACATGTTTATATATATATATACATAAACAGATTCCGGACTATTGTTGGACTCTTTTTGAATCTTTCCCCTGTAGAGGGACAGGCCCGACTTAAGCCTCGGGGTGGGTCCGATCCGGAGCCGCGCCAGAAGCCAAAAAGACGACCAGAGCCTTCAGACATCTCCCTGTCGTCTGAGTCGTCTGTCGTCTGTCGTCTGTCGTCGTCGTCGTCGCCGTCGTCGCCGTCGCCGTCGTCGTCGTCGTCGAATTCCTTCCTCTCTGGAGAAGCCCGAGCCCTCTACACCTCTGCGCAGCGCGGCCCGGGCGCGCGGGGCGCGCGGCCGTGCTCGGGCGCCCGCGCGCAGCCGCCCCGTGGAGGAGGGCGCCCCTCTGCGGCCCAGGCCGCGAACCGCGCTCGTCGTCGTCGTCGCCGAGGAGGGAGCCAGAGAGGGCAGCGGTCCCCACAACGAGCCCGGGGGGCGCTGTCGGCGCGCAGGGGCGCCGCCTGCCCAGGACGGCGACGACGAAGACGACGACGACGACGACGAGCGCAGGCGACGGCGACGACGAGGGCAGGCGACGACTACGACGAGCGCAGGCGACGACGACGAGCGGGGGCTCTTCGCGCCTCTGCGGGTGTTCTAGAGAGAGAGAGAGAGAGAGGGCGGGCGAACAGTGAGAGCAAACGCTTGATGGTCGAGACTGGCAGAAGTATGCTCGACGGTGGAAAGTGGCAGGTCGATGCTCGAGCCCTGCTGCAAATGAGGTCGGGAGTGCCGATGTGGTTGTCGGACAGCAGGACGGAATCCATGCGAAGGCTGGCGGTCTGGTCCACTGTGACGACGCCGATGTGGCTGTTCTTCCAAGCAACGGCCCCGCGCAGCATGGCGCAGCTGGCCGCGCTGTTGTTTGCGTTGCTTAGAGAGGTCAGGGCGGGGCGAGGATCGGGGCTACGTAAGACTCGGGTTCGGGGAACTCGGGTTGACCAAACGGGATCGCCACGAAAATGACGAGACACAACCTGAAATTTAACGTTAACTTCCGCTGCAAACATCCCACGAGAACTGGGCCGTCAAAACCTGGGACAGGGCCTGGCCAGAGGCGTCGACAAACCCGAACTCCAGCGATTCGAGTCTCACGTGTCCCTCAGATTCTGTCAGGGGAGAGGAAACGAAAACGAACCCTAATGTGAAACTGCTATATGTACACTACGTCTGTCCTGCGAGCGTGGCCGAAATTCGGGCTCCGAATTCGGACACGGAAAATTGTCGCTGTATGTGTGTGCGCGTGTGTTTATAACTGGCCGTTTGGGTCGCAGAGGACCGTCGCAAAGTGCCCAGAGTCTTACGTTTCCTCGAAAGAAGAAAGCGGACACAACAGCAGCAAGATTTCCAAGCGGCGGCCCAACTTTTCGGCGGCACTGCTCGAGGCCTCACCGGCTGCACGTCCGAGACCAGCTCGGCGTGGCTCCACGACTTCTCCAGCAAGATGAGCAGTCGCGCGGCCAATCACAGCTTTTGCAATCATCGGGGAACTTAGGCAACAGGCTGAGCCAATCATTCACTAATCCTGCCTCTCAGCACTTCCACTTGGGAGCAGGAGAGAGTGAGGACGAGAGACGGGGATGGTAGATGCAGGGAGGATGATGAGCCGGTGGACGGGGAAAGGAATCGGATAGGACGGGAACGAAACTATGACTCGCGGCGGTGACGTGACTCCAGGCCGGAACTGAGCAGCGCACCGATGCGGAAGATGGCTCAGACAACTGGGGCTGGCATGGGGCCGGAAACGGGTCCTGGGCCCCAAGGCTTCTTCTTGGACCAGCTCCCCGTCCCGAGCCGGTTTTTTCGGATGGCCCCGGGGGCCACGTTGCCCCTGACCTCTTCATGCCTAGAGTAGGAGGCGTGGAAATGGACACCAGCACCAACACAGGGGGCTGCCTCCACCGGGGGAAGATGATCCTAGATTTCGGTGCTGGTGGCAAGAGTTCGGCAACTTGGGACACCCGAATCTGACCACTGTCACCGAGATAGAGGGCACCTTCCCTCGGTGGAGGCACACTGCCGATCCTGGTGCTGGTGTCAATCTCTGGGCCTCCGAAAGAGGCCAGTGACACAGGGCCGTCGGCCGCTCGGGCGCGAGCCATCAGAATCTGCCCCCTGGACATCTCTGCGGGTGCGGGCTTCATCGGCAGAGTCCGAGGCGGATCACCCGCCGCGGCCGTCAGAGGCCTCTCGAGGGAGGCCCACGCGAGGGCGAGAAGACCGCCCAAAAGGTGGACAAAAAGCCGCTCCCGCTGCTGTCGCAGTCCGCCCGCACCCCGTTGAGCTCGGAGCTGTCGCAACCGACCGAGCTGGCGCGCAGGATGAAGAAGCCGGTCATGCACGCCACGGCCTCGTTCATCATCTCCTCGTCCAGCGGCCCCAGCCCGGCGTCACCCTCGGATTTCTTGAGGGCTGTAAGAGGAGCCCTGCGTGAGTCACCATCGTTGTCGTCGTCGACATCGCCGTCTTCGCCGTTGCCGCCGTCGTCGTGTTCGTCGTCGTCACAAGTGGTCAGTCGTCTCCACCGTCTGGTCGTCTGGCCTGCGACATCATGACATCATGAATGACATCATGAATGGGACAACTGTTTCTCTCCCCGGCATGACTTGCCCCATTCCGCCCCTGCTCCACCCTGCTGCTATTTGCCCTTCCTACCGTTCCCATCCGGCATGGGGCGGCAATGGCGGACACCCTCTCGATACCAACAGGGGGTGCATCTTATGTCAAACTTGTGTCGATGGCTCGAGCCCCCTTCACTGTGATAGATATCATGCTGTCGTAAACTTTGCAGAGGTCACCAACGACTGCCCTGACATACGAAATGGGCCTCTCTTATATGTGATAGCTGAGGAATAATTTGCTAGCGTTGGTTCACATATGCTGCATAGTTGTTTTGACTATAAGTTCCTGCACGCTCCTACTGTCACACATGTCTGCCAACGTGGATCCCAAATCGTGAGATCTTGCACTGTGGATGTGTACTGTATGTGGTGCAACACATGTGGTGTAAGCTATGTGTCGTGGCGCAAGCTACGTGGTGCAAGCTATGCGATGCCAAGCTATCAGGTGTAAACCACGTAGTGATGGCGGTGTAAACTATGTGATGTATCGTGTATCTTGTACCGTGCACGCTATGAGATCGTGAACCATACAACTGGTACATGTCGCTATGAGATCGTACGTGATGTACGCAATGAGATCGTGTACGCTATGTGGCGTATCGTGTATCGTGATAGCTAGGCGGTGTAAATAGGCGGTGTCAACCAAGCGGTGTAAAGTATATAGATATGGATCGTGCACGCTTTGTGATGTGAGCTATAAGGTGTGCTCTAGGTTGTGTAAGCCACGGGTGCAGCTATGTGGTGGCAGCTAGACGGTGTTAGTTTGTAAGCTAGGTGATGCAAGCTATGTGGTACAATACAGCTGGTGCAAGCTATGTGGCGTAAAACTATGGGGTGTCAACGATGTTATCGCTTACACCGCATAGCTTACATCGCATAGCTTGCGGTGCAAGCTATGCGGTGCATGCTAGGTGGTGTGCGCTACATTATCCAAGCCTGCGATGTAAGCTATATGTGCTAAGCACCGTGGTTCAAGCTATGTGGGATATGCTAGTGTATGTACGCTACCCCTCGCAATAGGTCTGGTGCAAGCTACGTGGTGCAAGCTGTGGCGGTGTAAACTGTGTTGAGGCAGGCTGTGTGGAGCAAGCTATGTGGTGCAAGTGAAGCGGTGCAATCTGTGTTGTGCACGCTATGCGGCGCGAGTGGTGCAAACAGCGACCAGTGGTGGCCACGCTATGTGCAGCGGTGGCGACGAGGGCCTCCGAGGAGGCCCAGAAAAGGGGTCAAACAAAGGGGTCAAACGAGCCAAAGGGCGGAGGTATTGGTATCTCTTCCTCCTCCGAAGCTGTGTGGTGTAACTTACGGTGGGGGCATTGGATAAGGAACCTCTCGGTGAGAAATCCAGGGTCTGGAGACCGGTGGAATTCCAATCGAGGCTTGGCCATGGATGTCACCGCCGCCCTCATCAGCTAAGGAATGCTCCAGGGCCTGCAGCCTCCCGGGCGCATTCCTGAACCGACGCCCCCGCCGCACCGTTGAAGAAGCGAACTGTGCCACCATGCAGGGAGGGAGGGGAAGAGGCGGAGGACGCGGCCGAAAGAGGGGGACAGACACGCCAGGGCGCTCTGGGGGACAGACACGCCGGGGCGCCTCATCGTGGCGCCAGACACGCGTGGCCCCCCTGTCATGGCCCCTCATCGTGGCCGCCCATCGTGGCCCTCCAGGGGCCAGGGGAGGAGGAGGAGGAGGAGGAGGAGGAGGAGGAGGAGGAGGAGGAGGAGGAGGAGGAGGAGGAGGGAGGCGGAGGCGGAGGAGGCGGAGCAGGAGGAGGCGGAGCAGGAGGAGGCGGAGGAGGAGGAGGAGGCGGAGGAGGAGGAGGAGGAGGAGGAGGAGGCGGAGGAGGCGGAGGCGGAGGAGGAGGAGGAGGAGGAGGAGGAGGAGGCGGAGGAGGAGGAGGAGGAGGAGGAGGAGGAGGAGGAGGAGGAGGCGGAGGAGGCGGAGGAGGCGGAGGGCAAGACACGCCAGGGCGCCCACGGGGCGGCCACGGGGCGGCCACGCGGACGGGCACCCAGCGAACCCCGGGCGGGGCCACCGCGCGCGGGGTGCCCCGCGAGGCGGCCACGGGCGGCCACCCCCAAAGGGCGGGCGCGCAGCGGACCCACGCGGCGCGCGCGCGGGGCGCCCGCGGGGCGGCCACGACCAGCCGCGAAGCGGGCACGAGGCTTAGGTCGGGCATGTCCTCCTAAAGGGGGATGTCGGACGAAGAGCCAAAAAGTGCCCCAAATATCCCCCCAACGAGGCAAACAACTCCCCCCCAGAATCGTCCCCATACTATGTTTTGACTATCTTTGGATATTCCTCCTGTAGAGGGACAGGGGCGCCCGATGTGTCTGGGGTAGCTCGGGCCTGGGGTAACTCGTGCTTGGATTCCCGAAAAACGAACCCGAATTAGCCCTTACCCGAGTGACCCCTGATGATTCAGGGCTCTGGGCGCCCGAAATATCCGGGGGAGCTCGGGCCGGGAGTAACTCGGGTTCGGATTCCCGAAAAACGAACCCGAGTTAGCCCTGACCCGAGTGACCCCTGATGATTCGGGGCTCTGACATATGGCTTAGGTCGGACATGTCCTCCTACAGGGGGATATTGGACTAACAATAACAAATCGCCCAAAACTATCCCAGCATAGCCAAACATATGCCCCAAAGATCCTCCCCAGATATTGTTTCACTATTTTGGTATATTCCTCCTGTAGAGGGACAGGCCCGACTTCACACAAGGAGGAACCCCGGAGGGCCTCATTTCGGTGGCGAGCGAGGGGGGGAAGCGAGAAGGAGGAGGCCTTTTCAGAAGGATCGGAAATTCCCCAGCCTTCCGAGAAGTGACTGAACCATTCCCGAAGAAAAATAACTGCAATGAAGGCGCGAGGGCTTCTGAGAAGTCCCGCCGCTTTCTGAGAAGGACTTCTCCTTATCATTTCCCCCCCTCGCTTGCCGCCGATCATTAGGTAATATAAATAAGAACCTCGAGGTGCAAACGGCTGGTTTAGGAAGTAACCAGCGCTAACGAATACGCGGGAAGCCCCGGAGAGTAGTCCACTATTCCGGAGGAAAACGGATGTTGTATTGGTTGATTGGACGCTTGTGCGCTCAAGAGTGTCGAAGGGTGCTGCCGTTAGTCATGCTTTATCCACGTGGGACAGACAGTTGCACCTCAATCGCGGTGCGAGGCGTTGGAGTCCAGTCTCGCTATTTCTGTACAGTGAGGTGCTCAGGGCTCAGGCGAATGGCTCATCTGAAAGAGTGGTGGGCGGCTCCCACACGAAGACATCAGGCGTCCTTTGAGCATAATCACGAGCACATCTCTGCTGCACCATGTTCTTCATCCCTGCATCCTACCGAGCTCGAACTCTCGCACCACCGACAAGTGCCACGGATGGGAACAACGTGACATGCAAGACATGTCACACGGATCAGACCGCATGACAGTGCGCGCGTGTCTCTTCACGCGGCCCGTAACTGACAGACTGGAGTTGATGGAAAATGTGTTTGCACATGTTTCGAATAAACACTGTCATCTCTACTAGTCCGAGTCGGCATTTGGTCCTGCTTTTGTTGCTGGGGCCAAGGGCCCTAGGCAGACGTATGCCATCCTTATTCTCCTTATTTAAAGGGTTTTCTTCTTCCATCAATTTCTCCTC